AGAAGAAGAAGAAGAAGAAGAAGAAGAAGAAGAAGAAGAAGAAGAAGAAGACGTTAAAATTCGAGTTTGCTTCCTGATTGTGCCACTGTGCTGCTGTTACTCACTCACTGGTCTCAAGCTAGAGACTGGGAATGCGGTTCCTAACTCAGGGAGCCGTCCTTCTGCGGAAGGGGGCCGGCCGGACCGGACACAGAGGCCGACTTCAGAGGCCGCCGTTGGGGCAGGGGGGAGACCCAGAACCGACTTCACCTTCGCGGGAGAACACCTGGCGATCAAAACGTTTCTCTGTTTACACCCGAGGGTCCAAGCCGGGAACTTCAGGCGGGACAAGCGTGTTCCGGAACTTTGTCACACCGGAACGAGAGGAGGAAGTTCCTTGCGTTGCAACCCGATTGAATTATCCCGAGGGGCACTTCCGGCGGGCCAAAATGGCCGCGACCGTTCAGGACTCACGTGTGCGCGCGGGGAAAAAGCTGAAGCGTTCCCTGAAGAGGAAGAAAAAGATGAAACTGGTAGCCAAGGCCGAAATGTCGAACCCGGAAGACGAGCTCAAGCACTCTTCCGACGGAGAAGGTAACGCGGCCGAGCGGAGCTCCCCGAGGCCCGGGCTGCGCTTCCCGGCGTTGGCGTCCGTGGGACGAGGCGCCTCGGCTCGCAGACGCCCGGCTGTCGGGGCTCGATCCCTAAGCTGCTCCTGAGAAACGGCAGCAGCGAGGCGGGGAAGGAAGGGTCAGATGGGCTCGGAGAGCAGGGAGCAAAACTAGAAAAGGCCGCGAGAGGGAAGAGGCAGGGTTACAGTGCAGCGGGGCGGGGGCAGGGTAGTTGGTACTCAGTGAGTGGGAGGAGAGGAGTGCTTGGTAGAGAGAGGAACGAAGCGGCGTTTGACCACGGTTTGAGAATGGAAGGGAGCTGTGTTGGGGGAGGTCTTTCACCGTGACGTGTCCGCCCTTGCTGCTGCTTTCGGACTTCGTCGTTCTTGTCACCAGCTTCTTAGCTGAGAGGGAAGGGTAGACGTTTGCGTCCTACGCCCCAGTGGGGCAGCTGGTAACTCACATCCCGCGTGTGTCTGTCTGATCGTGCGTGTCCAGTCATTAACGAAGGGCTTCACCTCCCGGAGTAGCAGCCCGTGTTTTTAAACTTGCCCGATGTGGCTGGTCTCCTGTCATCACCTGCCTCTCCGCTGCTTGATAATGGCTGTTTTCTGTGCATAATCCTTGCTCGCGCGTGGGGCGTGCCCTCATTCTGGAGTTACTCTACCTTTTGCCTGGACTGCCTACAATACTCTTCAGAAGCTTGCGAGTCCGTCAGATTTTTCATTGGCTCCAGCCTCTGATCCACTGGAGACTTCTTATGTTTCTAATGCGCCACGGTGCTCCTTGTCAGGTTCGTTTTGTGGCTTACTGCCCTGCTTTCTTTAGATTTGCTTTCTTACTTTTAAATGACATGCATGTGTGTTGGATGGGTGGTGGCGGAGGCAGGGGGCTTGTGAATGTGAGTGCGGGTGTGCCACTAGATGCTAGAGGTCTCAGATCCTCTGAAGATACAAGTGGTTGTTAGCAGTCTAATGTGGATGCTGAGAAAGGGACCCTGAAGAACATGAACTTAACTAGTGAGCATTTCTCCAGCCCTACCCTGCTCTTTTTAAACCACCGCTTTTCAAATCTCCTTAAGTGTGTTTGCTGTTTGGAAGTTCCATGAGTCCACAGACAGTTGACCCTCAGCTCCTAAGACAACACCCATCACTCAGGGCTTCTTTCAAGGGTGTGTAAGGAAAGGGATGGGTGAACTTGGAATTCAGGACCAAGAAGTAACTGTCATAAACTATTGCATCGTAATGAAAGGCCTCGGCCCTTGCCAGAGGTGTTAAGAGAAACAAACTGCTTAGCAGGATTTGGAGCCTCTGGTTCTGATGCTGTTTTTAACTCCATTTACTTATTTTGTGGGTGCTCACACGCAGAGGTCTGGGGACAGCTTACAGGCACCGTTACCTCAGAGTCATTTTACCTGCTAGTGATAGTGTTTTGTATTTAAGGTTGTAAGCATTGCTTGTTTTGAGTTTGGAGTATGTATTTTAGCTGTTAACCCTTTACCACATGTGTAGCTGGTAGGATTTTTCCCTACTCTTCTCTGTCTTCCCTGTGTTACTTCTCTCCTTCGCCATGCAGAAGCTTTTTAATTGCTGCTGTCCCAGCTGTCAGTTCTTCCTACTACATCCTGAGCTGTTGGAGGCTTATTTGGAAAGTCATTGCCTGAGCATTATCTTGAGGTGTGAAACCTCTTTTAATGTAACCGTTTTTTTTTTTTTTTTTTTTTGACACGTTTTTCTTAGACAAGCAGACAGTCACCCAGGGTAAAAATAACTGTAGTTGTATGCATTGTAAACTTGAATGATGGTAAGTGATTCAGGTTAACTTTTGGTAAGTTGTAATACTTTCCAGTAATATTTAAGTTATGGTTGTAACAAAATGGAACATGCTCATGAACCAGAAAGACATATGAAGACATAGAAGTCTATGTCTTTTGGGAGAAGGTAGGGAAGGATAAATGCAGTGCTTTGCACTTGCTAGACAGGTGCTCTAAGCGGAGCTGCACCTCAGCTCCCTCTCGATACTGGTATGTGTTTGTTGCCAGATCTTATTACAATGATTTTTTATTTATTTATACTGAATATTATCATTTTCATTAGCAGCAAATGCTGGACTCAAACCCCGAGTCTGAGCTTCTTTAAAAAAATAGGGATTTCTTGGCTTCTTGTGTTCCCTGTCTTTCTTTGTGTCTGCTGCATGTGAGTTTCCTTACCCCTAATAAAGGCCTTCAACTGCTGGAAAAACAAACCAAAACAAGAACATCACTTTTTTTCATTGGTAGGATGTGTATAAAATAATGCTGTAAACTTTTTACAGGTTGGTGCCTGTGTTGTATTCCTCCAGTAGGTGGTGAGCTGCAGTGGCTTGCATCATGGGAAGACTTCTCTGCCTCAGTGTGGCTCATTGCTGCCTTTGTGCAGGTTCATCAGCATGAACACTAGATGTCAGTGTTGTAGTTCAGACGTTTGCTAGGAGCTGATAAAGCCTTTGTTGCTTCTAATGTCCCAGATGGTGTTGTTCTTAAAACTTTTAGTGGTTGTATCTCTTTATATCATGTTAAAGCTTACTAAAAACCTACTTTGGGGTGTGTGTGTGTGTGTGTGTGTGAGAGAGAGAGAGAGAGAGAGAGAGAGAGAGAGAGAGAGAGAGAGAGAGAGAGAGAGAGAGATTCTTAAAAGCTGCTGACTCTGAGGACTAAAACATATACATACATACATACATACATACATACATACATACATACATGGTTTTTCGAGACAGGGATTCTCTGTGTAGCTTTGGAGCCTATCCCGGCACTCCTCTTTAATCCAGGCTGGGCTCGAACGCACAGAGATCCGCCTGCCTCTGCCTCCGAGTGCTGGGATTAAAGGCGTGTGCCACCAACGCCCAGCTCATTAATATATTTTTAACTAGCTGCATTATTTAGATGTTAGTATACAAAGTCCTCAGAGATGCTTCTGGGGAGAATTTGTGTGGTCCTTGGCTCTTTTTGCTGATTGATTACACTAACCTATATGTAGGCTTTGCTGGCAGATTGCCCTTTTCCCTAACTGGGAAATCCAAGGAAATGATCAATATGGCACCTGAAATTTTCATGTTACAGTGTTTGGGATTTGGATTTTTGGATTTAGGGACGCCTGACTTGTATTCAAAATTAGTACCTGAAAGGCATGCATTGTAACCCGTCCCTGAGTAAAGTGCTAATCAGATGTTTGAGCTCTCTCTCTGGGGCTTCCTCATGGTGTAACCTGCAGCACACCTAGGAACTTAGCTTGGAGGTCAGTATGGCCATTGTTACTCAGCACTGCAGTTCAGCTTCCTGACTGTATCATGTGGTTTTTGTTTTCTTCCTCCCAAAATGTAAGAAATGACCAAATCACAAAATTTTATTGTTGTATCCACCATTTTAAAAATCAGGCTGCTTCTTCGTATTTTTCTGGACACAAGTTCAGAGTTTTAATATGTGGGGCAAAATTCTTAGGAAATGGTACTGTGGCACTAAAATGTCTTTCTTAACCAGTTGATACTTTTAGTCCTTCCTTCCTTCCTTCCTTCCTTCTTTTTTTGAAACAGGTTATCTCTGTGTAGACCAGGCTGGCCTCGAACTTAGAGATCCACTTGTGTCTGTCTCCTGAGTGCTGGGATTAAAGGCGTGAGCCACCACTACCGGGCTAATACTTAAGTTCTTAAAACTAATCTTGGTTAGTCTCTTTGGTAAGTTTAGAAGTCAACTGAGGTCTGTGTCTGAAAAGCTCTCTGCCGGGCATTGGTGACACATGCCTTTAATCCCAGCACTCGGAGGCAGAGGCAGGCGGATCTCTGTGAGTTCGGAGACCAGCCTGGTCTCCAGAGGAGTGCCAGGATAGGCTCCAAAGCTACACAGAGAAACCTTGTCCCAAAAAACCAAGTAAATAAATAAATAAATAAAAAGTAAAAAACGCTCTCTGTATTGGACCTCCCCATCTCCCACCGTCCCCACAGACATGAAGTGGAGCACTTGTTGGATTTATCTCTGCAGCCTGGGTCTCGAAGCCACTCTGATTTCCCTGTCAGTGTTGTGGGCTGCTGTCTGGTGCTGTTAGCAACATGGGGAATCCTGGTACTCCTGTGCGTGCTGCAGACAGTGGCTCCGGAGTGCCTGGCAGGGCACTAAGGTTTAATTTATGTTTACTCTCAGGTTCAGAAGGAAGCGGTGAATCAGAAATGGACCAGTTGTCGGAGGATGGCGCAGTAGAAGCTGACAGTGAGGACAATGTTGACTCCTGTGAAGAAGAAAAGGAAGATGCAGAGCCAAGTGCTGGGACTAATTCTGGCTGGGCAGACGCCATGGCTAAAATCCTGAACAAAAAGACTCCTAGCAGTAAACCCACCATCCTCACCAAAAACAAGGAGCTGGAGAAGGAGAAGGAGAAGCTAAAGCAGGAGAGGCTGGAGAAAAGGAAGCAGGTCTGTCTGTCTGCCTGTCTGTCCTGGCCTTGGAGTTTGTGCCAGCAGCATTCAGCTTTAAGGGCTTCTTATGTGGGGGTTTCAGGGTTAGCAGGGTTAAGTCAGGAACACAGTCTTGTGCTGACCATTGAGCAAGCCTAGCCCTGCAGTGTAAATCTGAATATTGAAGAGCCTGAGTTCAGAATGGTTTTCTGCTAACAGACTGAATTCTTGCTCTGGGCAGTCACTGATGGTAGAAGTTAGTCCAACCTCGATTAAAGACCTATGTTTGCATGTAAGTTGGCTGGTGTACAGTATAAAAGAAGCTATGCTGAGGTTTTCGTGTCCTCTGTACTGTATCAGTGTGTCAATAATATTTGGTTATAAAAGTAAGTAATTTCTAATGAAAGAAAAGTAACTTTCCGTGTTTGTACTGACAGTATAGAAGTACAAACTTCCAAGGTGTAGTTTCTGTACAAATGAAAGAAAGAGGCTAGAATCAGAGTATATTGCTTTTTATGTCTGGCACACCCTTGTTCCTCTGGTTATTCCACTTAGGAGTTGTCGAGTTGGGCTTTTCCAGCATTGCTCTCTGGACACATGGGTTGCTGTTACTGGTAATTCTTTTTGTGCGTTAGGATAAACCCTTGTCTCTAAACCTTACAAGGAGCTTCTCCCTTGAGGTTTGAGTATTTGTTTATTAACTGGCCAAAGTTAGAATCAGTTTTAAAAATGACAGAATCTAAAGTCACCTACAATCTCCAGATTCCAGGGAGGGCAAGCATGCAGAGCGGAGGGCGGGTGTGTAGGTCACTGAGTGCTGGAGATGTGCTGTGCACGGGCGCATGGAAGTGCGCTTGCCGATAGCCTCAGTGGCAGAGCTGGCAATCTCTAGAAGTCAGTAGCAAAGCCACGTCACTTGTCAGGGTTGTTTCTCACTGTGTGGTACTGAGTCTGCTGACTTGGAAGTGCACTGAAGGAGAAGAATGCCTTTTCTAAAGGAGCCAGGCTGCTCTGTGTGGTCAGATCTGGAGTATTAGCCGTGTTCTGTTGTTGTTGGCTATTTTCTTTTTTTTCTGGAACTCTGCTCTGTAGACCAGGCTGGCCTCACAGAGATCTACCTACCCCTGCCTCCTGAGTGCTGGAATCAAAGGTGTGTGTCACTACCACCCAGCCTTAGCCATGTTCTTACCACAGAAGTAGAGAAAAGCCAGCATTTCCTACAGTTCTTGGTGTAAATGCTTAGGCCCTCTAGGCAAGCAGTTCATCCGGTCAGTGTATATCAGCTTGGGAGGCAGATCTGGCAGTCTGTCTGTCTGTCAAACCAGGCTCCAGTACCGGGATGTTGTTGAAGTCCCTTTTACACCAGCCCGAGTGTTGTCTGTGGGACTTCTTCCTACAGCTCCCCTTAAGTGCTTGCACAGTGTAGGAAAACAGTCATTTGAGTTTGGGATTCAGTGTGATGACAGCAATGTTAGATGGCTGTGAGAGGAGAGAAGGGTGTAAAGGGCTTTATACAAAGAAAAATAGACATTACGTCAGTATGTGTGTATGATGTTGTTCTGTTCAGAGCTGGTGCAGAATTCATTCTGAGAGTTGGTGAATCCACCCTGAAGGTAACAGGCAGCTTAGCTTGCCCTTACTCGAGTGGGCAGTGTGGTCTTGTGCATCCCACGGATGGTGGGCTGTGGCATTTGGGAATGGCTGGCTCACCCTGCCTTGCACTGCCTGGCTGTGTGTGTGTGCTGGCAGTTCTCCAGAACCTGATGCCAGGACTCCTCAGAGACTCTGCCTCTCACATGACATGCTAACCACAGGCTGTGGGAGCCAGCCCCTAAAACTGTGGTTTTACAAACAGCCTCCGTGACACACAGAACTGGCTGATTTATTACCTTTGTCCTTTCACAGAATATCATGTCAAAGTTTGCTGCACTTTGAAAAATGCCTAATAATCTTTCACATAACCGTATTTATAACACAGCTTGATAAGAAGAGGGAGTGGGAAATGATGTGCAGAGTGAAGCCAGATGTTGTCAAAGACAAAGAGGCAGAGAGGAACCTTCAGAGGATTGCGACGAGGTAAGACAGTGCTTCTGCCTTTAAGGACAAGTACAGGAAAGCAAAAGCAAAAGCTGTGATGGTGCACTCTGCCTTCTCAGAGCCCAGTGACACACCTCCAGGCCCTACTGCTGGACACCGAATGTAACCAGAAACTTCAGAGGTGTCATGAGGCAGAACCATAGTATGCTGAGTGTGTATTTGGTTTGAATCTGCCCATTTTATAGTTGTGGGGATTGTGTAGTCAGATCCCTGACTCTATTTGTCTCCGGTGCTTGTCTAAGTGCATGGTGCTGGGTTGGTTCGCTTACGTTGTAATTACAGGATGATACATCACACATTCTGCCAGCTTTACCTTGGCAGCCTTTTTCCTGCAATCCCTCACACACACGTGAGCACCGTACACTGTCACCTTCCATATCTAGAGCTGAATACTCATCATCTGTAGAAGTGAGCCTTTTGAGAACGGGTTGTATTCTATGTACAGTGACAACCGTGGGAGTTGGGGAATTGGGGAAGGCTTCACAGAAGGCAACATTAAATTGCTACTTAAAAACCACAACTATATTTAGTGGAGTGATATCTAGCTTCAGTTGATGTTACTCTGGTCACTTTCTGATCTGTGTGGGAGTTACACAGTGAGATAGATACCAGAGAGTCTCTACATGCTATGGATTTCTCTGTCTCCATTCCTAGCCTGTGAGGATCCCCAGAAATTGAGACACTGTAATCATTTTAGTTTGAAAAAAAATCAAACTCAAGTTTTCAATAGCTCCTTAATCATTATTATTTTTAAATAACTATATGAAAACGTAGCTTATTGACATATTGGATTCAACATGCTTTACAGTAAAGTAAGCTTACTACCTGATTTGACTAAAAGCGACAGTGCCCATTAAGTCCCTATACTGTCGACTAAGCAGACCCCAATCAGTTCAGCTCAGTGTTTGCTTTCCAGAATAAATTAGCATATTTGCCACCTGAGAGTGCTTGCCTTTTTCTAGACTGTGGTGGTAAGACAGTATTCTGCTGTGTTTGTCCTCCATTGCTCGCTGTTTCACACTCCAGGGGTGTGGTGCAGTTATTCAATGCTGTCCAGAAACACCAAAGGAATGTTGGTGAGAAGGTTAAGGAAGCAGGAGGTTCCATCAGGAAGCGAGCTAAGTTGATGTCAACTGTTTCCAAGAAGGATTTCATCAGTGTTCTCCGAGGAATGGATAGTACAAATGAGAACAGTTCTGCTGCTACGAACCCCAAAGCCAGACAGGTAAGAAAGACTGCATGGTGGGAATCACACCTGAGACACTGTTAAAATGTAACAGATAGGCGTTTGTTTGTTTTGGAAAGACTATTGTTGAAATGAGAAGATGTCAGCAGCCAGTGTTCCTAACTCCCAAGTAGAAATTTACAAACAGAAAGAGGAGCCCTTTGCACAATTTTCAGCAAGCCGGCTGTGTTCATTGCTTATGAAGTTAGAAAAAATAAGTTGGGAAAATGTGTGATGATGTTAGCAGGAATTGTGACTGTCATGAGCCCTGTGCTCAGAGTATGGGAACCCAGCCTGGGTTTAAAGCTGTTGTGAAGTAGATGCCTTGTAGAGAGCTGTGTCTGCCAGTTTGCTGGTGTTCCAAACACTGTGTAGCTGTGTGTCAGTGTGTGGGAAGACTCCTGCAGACACATCCGTGGTGTCAGTCAGACTGTGTAATATGTGCACTGTGTGTCAGTGTGTGGGAAGACTCCTGCAGACACATCCGTGGTGTCAGACTGTGTAGCAGGTACATTTTAAACACCCCTCACTTTGGGTGCTCTTAGGCCAGGCTGCAATGGTATGTCAGCTGCTGGACGTTCCTCTCCACCCCCCATTGTTGGAACCCACAGGCAAATAGGACTAACCCAACCTCCTTTCTTTCTTTTTTGTCTTCTTCTTTGTAGAGGTTGGCATGTAAGGTGTTTTCTGATGGGCCATGAGGGATTTTTAGGACAGCTTGGGGTCAGATTGTAAATCTCATTCTCTGTTTAGGGATTTGGACTTGAGTTCTTAGAGTCCGATTTCACCGGGTATGTACTCTGGCCAGATTTGATTGTTTTTAAGGAAAACAAAGGGGTTAGGGGTGGCAAGGTAGTTTCAGTAAAAGGCCAGCTTTAGTGGCCAGCTTATGGGAGGCCACTGCCAGAATCATCAAGAGGGGAGAGGCTGAACTGAGGCCCACATATGTGGGTTGGAAAGGCGGTGGTTATTGGTGTCCAGAAAAGAACAGATTGCAGAGGCAGATCAAAGGTTGGAATCAGTTTACCTTCAGTCTGACATGGTGAGCAGGATTTGAATAACTGGTTCATAGTAGGGAACTGATTTTCCTTAGGCCATAGGCCTTCCTTGGACTAGGTAAGAGATGCCTCACATAGGCATCTGTGGCTGGGCACTTTGTGTAGGGTGCTGTGTGAGGAGGCAATGAGTGCTTGTGTTTACAAAGTTGGACTTGTAGAGATACGACTGTTTTTCCATTTCAGATAGGAACCTTCTGGAAGGATTTGTTTTCTCACAGATGTTAAAATAGTAAAGATTTTCTTAAGATTTTGTGACGATAGGTTAGTTTATTTTACTTATCCTTAAAAAATGTGATTCTTTCATTTTTTTTTTTTTCTTCAAAAGCCAGATAAGCTCTGATTAGCTTTTGTGGGATTTAGTTCTTTCCCCAAAGCCAGGACTTCATGTGCAGTATTTTAAATGTGAGTTTCAAAGGAGACTGTTGGTTGCTATTAAGAAAGCATTGCCCTGTGACTTCTGCCCTTAGTTACAGACTTTATGCAAGATTTCATTCATCAGAAACTAACACTATGTTAGAAAGGAGTAGTGATAGCTGGCTGCATCTACAGGACAGAGATCTCAGAATCAGTGCAGGACAACCAGTGTTGGTGCACATTCTTACCGAAAGCAGTCATTGGCCTAGTCGGCAGGGCTGTTTATTTCTATGATATAGAATTGTTTGTGGTGTGAGGTCTTTAAATGGTGAGCAGAGGTAGGGATGTGCTGCCCTGGAATATAAGCAGGCACTCAGTGTTGAGGACACCTCCAATGAAACTGGCTTCCTTGGTGTCTCAGAGCCCAGATCCTGTGTGGTTAGGCCCTCTTAAAGCTGGGCTCCTCTGGAGCTTAAACCTGTGGACTCCCTGCCCCTGGGTGGAAAGCCTAGAAGGGAGGTCACACAGGTCTCCAATGGCCTCAGCATTTTCAGTTGGTCTGGAGGGCTAGAAGCCTGGGAATGTGTAGAGAAAGGTACTGTCCTTAGATTGCCCCTCGCAGGGCTGTGGACAGGGCTTTACTCCCCCTTAAGATCTGCAGATGGAATGTGTGGAATGCCTACTTTGTAAATAATCCAGCTTAATGTTTGTTTACTGAAATGCCTAAACATTTGAGTTTAGACAAAGCAAGACTCCAAGCAGAGCCCTCTATATTACTATGAATGAGAAGAGTTCAAAGTCAGTTTCTCATTGTAGTCACTTACAACAACACTGCAGTTGTGCTGTAGGACGCTATCTGACATGAATAGCAGTTATAATTGGAGTGAGTTGTGTTTGCAGTAGGAATATGGCCTAAGTGTGGAGTAAACTAGTCACTGTGAAGCTGCTGTAAAGAGTCTATCCTCAACTTGAAATTAACAACACCCTGGCTGAGGTTGAGCCTTGTCTTGTTTTGTGAAGTCTGCACCTGTGTGTTAGTACCCTGTAGCACATACTTTAAAATCTGAAGAGTATTTTCTTGTTTCTTGTAAAAAGTCATCATTTTGAGCACCAGACAGTTGAGAGAGAGTCTTTCTGGGGATGTTAGATATTGTATGTAGTGACAAGGCCACAGATTCTGGAATCTGATGAAATTCAAAAAGCTGTATTCTATGTGAAGAATAACAGCCTGCACCCTGGAGGTGAGAGTCACAGCCCAGAGTGCACAGGACAATGTCTGTGCATCCAGCTGCTGTCTGAGGTCATGGCTATTTTTGCTTTGCTTTGTCAGTAAAGTGAGGTCTCTGTCCTTTCTGCGTACTGTCTTCCTAGAAAATAAGAGACAGAAGGAACTCTGCCACCTGCAGCCAACTCTAAAGGGAGCTGTTACAGCTGCTTATCTCGCTGTTTTAAATTCAAAAGATTCGTAAAGTAATTCAGTAAAAATTAGACTTGGAACATTCATTTTACATTTTGAGTCTTTAACATGTAATTCTTACAAAAGGATAGTTTGTCCACTTTGTCTTGCTGTTATCTCTAACTGCTGCTTAGAAGGCTTCCTTAACAAGAAGCAAGAAAGTGGATTGTTTTTATTTTTATTTTTTAATTGTTTTGTTTTTTAAGACAGGGTTTTTCTGTATAACAGCCTGACTGTCCTGGAAATCACTTTGTAGACCAGACTGACCTTGAACTCAACTGCCTGCCTCTGCCTCCCGAGTGCTGGGAGTAAAGGTGTGTGGAGACTGCCATACTGTTATCAGGGTCTTGCTTTAAGAATGTGTTCAGACCTCACTAGAAGATCACACACATTCTCAGTTGGGAATCTGCTAGGTACATGTTGACACAGGACCTCAGTTAGAGTAAGTGGGCCTGGGAAGTTTTACTGTGTGCTAGGTGGTGTGTAAGTGTCCTTTCTCGATTCTGCTGTTGGAAGTAGACTCCTCTTAGAATTGAAAAGCCCAAGTCAGAACCAGTCAAGACAGTCAATCCAGCTCACACTGACCACATTCAGTGGAGTTGAGACTCAAATGCAGCATGGCTCTGTCCCTGCTGCAGTCACTGTGCAGGTTGTTGGTGCTGCTGCCTGCACAGATCTGATCGAAGTCACGGGAGCAGACACAGACTAGAAAGAGAGCTGGAGAGACAGCCGCAGCCTGGACTTTTCCTCGGCTCCTCATCCCATGCTTTTGATGTAGAAGATAATGGAATGCCTGTAGAAGAATCTTTGTAAATTTACCTGTTAGGATTGGCTTTTTAGTTGTTTTCACAAGAAATTAGGATTTTCTAGAAAGCAAGTGTATTTTTTTATTTAAGTATTGGGAACTGAATGCAAAATGTAGACTACCTTCTTCCACGTTATTTATGAAAACCACATAGGAAGAAACTCTAACTGACAGTAGTGTGAGGATGCCTGCTTCTCTTACTAGGTCTCTTAAGTCATTAACCCTTCTTTGCTTTGTTCCTGTTTTGCCTGCCCATCTTCTCATTTAAATTTTGGTTACTGATAATTGAAGACTGTAGCTATGTGTACACCAAAGATTATCTTTAAAAATTAGGGCTTTGAGATATGATTCACATACCATAAAATTCAGAAGATCCTTTTATAACTTTGAGTACCAAAATCCAGTCAAAGTTAACATACTATATTTGATTTTATCTTGTCATTCATTCTAGCCCAGTAAACAACTGACAAATCAAAAACAAAAATACCACTGACTTTTTAAAAGAAACAAGGTAGTTGTTTTGAAGAATTAACGATGAATGTTTGGGTTTCATTTATTTGGGTTTGTTCGTTTATCATTGTGCCTTTTAAGTTGTAAGCTAGAAAGTAGGACACTTACTAAGTGTCACTTGCTAAGGGTTTTTGAGGACCAGGGAGAAGTGGCACTGTGTTGGTACTCTTGTCCTGGAGTCTCCATCTGTAGTGTAGCGTCTTTATGGAAGCTCTTGTACATTCATGAGGGGTGTTTTCAGTTCCTCTGACCAGTGTGACGGTGGGATATCCTGCACGAGGAGAAGCCATTGATGTTCATTCCCACTTCTGAGGGAAAGGCTGCTTGTGCTGTTACGTACCTCCAAATGTGAAGAAATGCCCTGTGTACCCTTCATCTCATGGGATGAATGGGAGATGAAATAGGCTGAGTTAATTGTAGGTAGATAACTGTAGTTGAAAATAGTTTGCTAGACATTTTAAACAAAAAAGTTATTTAGATGCAACTAGCCAATATTAAAACTGTTTAGTTTAGCTAAAATTAAAGTAAAACTCACTGCTACTAGATAAATTGACAGTAACTTGTTGATGACTGCTAAATTTAGATTTGATCATTCTTTTAGGGTTTGACTTTTTCTTCAGAATGGAATGAGGTTAAATTGTTTAATTATTTGCTATTGAACTAATAATAGCTCCAGATGTCTTCCTCAGCATGCCTTGGCTGTCAGTGTGTCTGAACTTAAATGGAAACTAGTTAACACTTTAAGGGCTGTCTTCATCTTTAAACTTTACACCAGCTGCTTCTGAATGATCTCGATTGGATATTTCTGTAAAAGCAGGCCAGTGAGGGGCACATTGTTTCTTTGCATCATAGGCTTCTTACCCATGGGTGTGTGCATGGAGGCTAGAGGTGAACACTGAGTGGGTGCCCTCCTCAGTAGCAGACAGTCTGTCCCTGTACTGGGAACTCAGTATTTCGTCCTCTTGTCTTTGCCTTGCAGCACTGAGACCACAGGCTTATGCTGCCATACCCCACTGTTTTCCATAGGCACTGGGAATTTGAACTCAGGTCCTCTTGCTTGCACAGTTAAGTATTGAGCCATCTGACTGACCCCTGCTTTTTCTTGTGCTGTTTCTCTTTTTGTATGTAATTTTCTTAGTTTTATCTTTTCATCCTTTTTCCTTATCATCGTGTGTAGTAGCTTCAAGCCAGCCCTTGCTTACCCTTAATGCTTCTAATGGCCACTTTGAAACCGAAGTGAATCTGAAAACAAGTTTCTGTTGCCTAATCCTGTGGGCTAAACTTTCTGTATTTTACCCCTTAAACGTGAATTTTAGTTATTCAAATTATTGACTCTGAAGTCTTTTTAAAATATATGTTTGGAAACCCCAAGACTATCTGAGGTACCACGCTATTTTTACTGACTCTCAAAAGGGTAATACACTCGGAACTTGAAATCACTGAGTAATTTGTTTTTTCACTGCATTTTATAATTCTGAGTTATGTTGTTAATAATTAAAAAAAACAAAATTGAATTGAATTGAAACCGGGGCATGGCGGCTCATGCTTGTAATCCTGCACTTAGAAAGCTAAGACAGAGGGATTACTGTGAGCTGGAGGCTAGCTTGGCCATAGTAATCTGTTCCACGATAACCTGGGTTACAGTGTAGGACCCTAGTTCAAATTCATTCTCCCTCGGTCCTTCCCTTCCTCCCTCTATCCCTCCCTCCCAATTGAAAGCTTTGACTAGTTAAATTGGCTGTGACTGTTGGTTTCAGGAGCCAGCCACTCAGGAGCAGCTGTCTCTTAAGGAGGCCAGCGAGAGAAATGGGGCTTAGGGAAAACCTGGGGTAGCATCAGGGCTCTGCTTTCAGAGGTCATCGGGGAAGAGGACCTGGCTGCACCCCAGGAGAGGTTTGCCTCCTGTTGCAGTCCGACAAGCGCTGCACCATATTGTTCTCAACAGCACAGGGTACCTGGTGCTCTGGTTTCTGCTTAGATTACAGCAGGGTGTCTGGTATTAATACTAAGTCGGTTCCCCGTCTACCAAATCTATATGCTGCCTGGTCTCTGGGTTGTATGGCTCAAATCGTGTTTTAGTTTTTCATTCCACAAATTTAGAAGTGATGGAGTAGAACACCCACCCCCCCCTCTTAATATGTGACAGTGTCCTTAAAAATAGAGGCTTTAGCAGAGTTAGCTTGTGAAACCTTGCCAATATTTTGATGCTTTTTTTTTTCCTTTAAAAATGCTTACTACATATACATAGCCCCCAAATGGAATAGATTTGCACAGACTGACTGTCTCTGTGAGGATAGGACTTGGTTTTGTTGCCTTGGTGTTCCTGACAGGCAGTAAATGTCAGAGAAATGTGTTGCGTTACTTGCATAATGCCACAAGGTGGTGCCATTGTATTGTAAAAGGAAGGAATGTGCACTTAGCTCCAAGTATTACACCACACGAAGCAAATTGGCTACATAGTTTGTTGCCTGCTTCAGTTATTTATAATTTTGGTTTGTTATTAGTCTCTGATTCCATGGTTGTGTCAGGTAGTGAGACTGTGACCAGAATTGGGGAGTATTTTGTTCACACTTTTACAAAATCTGGGTGTGGTACCACCTTGAACACCCTGGTTAGTCTTCCGTTAAAATAATTGCCAGGGATCTTCTAATAAATTATCACTGAAGGCTGATTAATGTCTAGATGTCTAAAATTGTTGCCAAGCCTTTATTTTCTGTTTTTCTCCCAGCTCGAAATTATTTTGCTTTCATGTGTTGTTGGTGGAGTTGAAAGTTTTCTTTTAATCTGTATTTGTATATCCGTGAGCATAGTTTATAAGGTCATTTGATGTTATCTTGGCTTAATCTCATTTAAAACTACACATTGAAGTTTGTTTTGGAGTATACAATTTTTAAACTTTTTCTTATGGCTAAATTGATTTGTGAATATTTTGGTTTTATAACTTTTCTCAGACTGAAATGAAGTCAGAAGAGGGCCCCGGGTGGAAGATTCTGCAAGACGATTTCATGATGGGAGCCAGTATGAAGGACTGGGACAAGGAGAGTGATGAACCCGGGGGCGGCAGGGCAGGGTCGGCCAGTGACTGAGCAGATGGGAGCCTCCAGTTCTCCTCCAAAGACGTTGTGTCTGACTGTTGGGAGCTATGAGGCCATCTGGTAAATACCCGGACTTCCTGAGAACACCTGCTCCAGTGAGCTCCTTCATGTGCAAACTGTAGTAAAATTGTGTATTTAATCCTTATGTAACTTTAGGCATTTTCCCAAAATATTTGTACAAAGAACTACTTTCCTTTCTTGAGCATTCAGATGCCATTTCTCTGGGATCCTTACATGTGAGCACATACCCATCATGCAGCTATGTTTCTAAAGTGCTGACCATTTATGATTAAATTGAATTTGATGTAAGATTTTTCCTTGTTTGTACTCAGATCCATATAGCTATTGTGGGGGTGAGTGATGCCATTTGTGTTGGTAAGCCTTAGAAAATCTGTGTAGTAAAATTTTAAATTGTAATGTTTTTATTTGAATTTTAGAAACACTGATAAAGCTGTCTGATATGCATCCAAGATTTCCATGGAACTCAGCTCAAGAGATAAAATTTGTGGGGGAACTGGGTCCTGGATATGGTGCGCTCTCTTTGAGAAGGACCCATTTCTCTGTCTTTTCGTGAAATGAGCCCTGCACGCACCTGCAGCTGCTGTGTGCTGAACCTAGCCCTTCCCAGGGTGTGCTGGGGCACAGGTGTTTGTGTTTTGAGATCAGTTCAAGGGCTACAAATACTCTGTAACTACAGGAGAATTAGCCCTGGCTGGAGTTTGCTGTCAGACTGAAGAGGACTCACTCGTACTACTTCCTTGAAGCTCACGTGTTGTAGTAAATGATGTGGCTGGTGTGTTTGTCATTTTACTCTAAATAACCGTGAACACGTTTTTCCCAGTAACAATACAGGAATGCTAGCGTGGATACTACTTAACACAGACTAACACTTCCGAATAGTACAGCACACAGCTAATTTGGGAAAGATTGAACCACCTACACACGTTTTTACTCTTCAGAATGAAAATCACACTTCGTTGTCTTCTGCTGACTGTTTTGGGGCCATCCTAAGTGTCTGCAGCTTTTCCTGAAGCTCTGATTTGGATGAAAGTGGGTGGATGGCTGCTTAGGAGGAACAGGTTGTCCTGGTGTAGATTTGTGTTAGTTGAGCTTAGCTTTCAAAATGCAAGTAAGGAGGAAAATGTTCGCAGGTTTCTTCTTGCAGAAACCTTTATTCCATCACTAAAATCGAGTTACAGCTGAAGGAAAGTGTCGCTTTTGAGAGAGGCCATGACATAATTTTGTCATGTGGACATACATGTCTTTGAGGTTTCAGTGTCTTTTTGTTTTGCTTCAGAATACTTATGCAGAACCAGTGTGTCTGAGAAGTCTAAGGTGAGCATGTTTATATGTGATTCTTGAGTCAGACTTCTGAGGTACCAGGGCTGTCTTGGAAACTCCATCCTCTCCGGAAGTATGGGTGTGCACCACCACACCCAGTTGCTAAGCTCATTCTGGGGGTTCATGTTGTAAATGGCCTACTTCTGTCACGTTTGACCTTTGGATTTCTAAACATATTAAAATTCCTCTGTCATCTAAGATTTTTAAGTCTCTTCTGGTTCCACATTGAATTCTATAAAGTGGAGACTCACACTGTCCAATGTCATTATCTAAAAATAACAGCATTTTGTTGTATGGTTATTTTTGTTTGTTTTTCTATGTATTATATGTGTATGGGTGTTTTGTTTCCATCTGTGTCTGTGCACCATGGACATCCAGTACCTGTGAAGGCCAGAGGGCTCAGTTCAATTCCCAGCACTCACATGGCACTCACACCATCACACAGTCACACATGCAGGCAACACACCTATTCACATTAAAATTTAAAAAAATTCTTCTTTTAAAAAATAGATTCATATAAAAAGCTGAGTGAAGAAAGGGATGTTTAAATTTTATGGATGCTGCAAGGGCTTTTTGATAAATGTTCTCTGTGCTACTGGCCATCACCAAACTCGTCCTGCTCTCTGGGCATCTGTGGACTACATGGATATAAAGCAGTTTATGGGTGTCTAACAAAGGCAAAGGCAAATGTCATCACCGCGTAGCTGGAGGCTGAAGTGTGGATGGAAACAGCAAACATGCAGAAAATGTGTTTTGCTGCAGAGAGCTGAGAAATTGTAAGGTCTGAGAAAATGTCTCAAGTGCAATCTCGAAGGAACGTCAAGGAAGGTGAATAACAGTTCTATAAAAAGATGGGAGAGTGGATAGATGAGTTGGCCCATGGCAGGCTTGGGCAGCCTTTCCCCTGTGTAGTTTTTGGTTACCTGCATTGTGTAAAGTGTTAAAAGGGTCATGAGTGAGAGAGGAAGGACCTTTTCATGAATGTGCTTAGTGTATTGCTGTGTGCTGTGTGCCGTATGAATTTCACTTTTAAACAGAGACCCACGCCCCCCCCCCCCCCCCCCCCCCGTGTGTGTGTGTGTGTGTGTGTGTGTGTGTGTGTGTGTGTGTGTGTGTGTGTGATTATTCGTTTATTTTTGAATACATTTTAAGAGGTCAGCATTGCTGTGTGGCCTAGGCTGGCGTTAACCTCCTGGGCCCAGGGTTTTCCTACCTCAGCTTCTTGAGGAACTGGGACTCCCAAGTGCATCCCACCACACCAGACAGCATTGGTGTTTAAGAAACTTGCTGACAAGAAACCAGTGATACATTTTTTTTTAAGGTAGTTTTTTATTATGTCTTGTCTGTGGGTATTTTGCCTGCATGTATGTTTGTGCATCATGTGTGTGCCTGGTGTCCTCAGAGGCTGGAAGAAAGGGTTGGACCCCATTAGTTGTGAACCAAGGTGTGGGCATTGGTAACTAAACCCAGGTCCTCTGCACAGCAACACGTGCTCTTAACTGCTGGGCCATCTCTCTAGCCCCCAGGTTTTTTTTTTTTTTTTTTTTTTTTTTTTTAACCTCAGAAATTTTACCTCCTGACATCTGTTGCCTTAGATAGCTAACAGAGTCTGAAAGTGAATTCTCAAATCCCAATGGCATTGACGGGATAGCTGTTTTAGGTGCTGGGCCATGGTTGTATGGATTGTGTCGACAGCAGAATAAGGGGTTATTTCAAGCGGTAATGGTGAAGTTTAATCTCCTCTTTCACCCTAAGGTTACACTCCACAGTCAGTGCTAAAGGGCTTCATGGAGGACCTGCATTTGATTCCTCAGAACTCGCAAACATTTGTAATCCCTGTTTTAGGGGTGGTGACAGGCGGTAACCTGGCCTAACCAGTCGTCCCCAGGACCTAGTTGGGGACCTGTCTGAAAACACGATGATGGCTCCTGAGGAACAGCAGTACTTAAAGTTGACCCATCCTCACACACCCATATGTGCGCTGTCCCCAACAGCTTTTTAAAAAAGGAGCTGTAATGGAATTTAGGTTTTCTGCTACTAAGGGCCTTAGAATAGGAAGCTAGTGCAAAGCTGTGGCCATGATTTCTTGATGCCGTGTGTTAGCTTTGTTTTTGCTGGCAATCACTCTTGCATCTGACAGAGGGTGCTGCGCCCGGCCATGCCCATTCCCCACAGTCATCTATTGCAAAGGAGACGATCGATCCTCATTGTCACTTCTTGGGTGTCATGGATGCAGAAGACTTTGAGCCTTACTCATATTGTGAGCACAAAGACTACTTGAGATTAGCTGGCAGAGAAAACTTAATTTTGCAAACACGAGAGAACTACCCCATGCCTACAAACAGCTCACACTCCTTCCGGGAGCAAACAGGAGTCCGAACTTTGGCCAGTAGGGCAGATGGATATCACTGGTGGCTACAGCAGAGCTGGACTGACTGTGTGGCTTTCTTGGGCCAGTCCTTTCTAAAGCCCTGTTAAATATATCCTCCCGGGGACCTGAGTGCAGATTAAGGAAGGGGTGGTGCCATTGGTGAGCATTGAGGCCTTTAGAAGGGTGACGTGCTTGAACTCAAGGCTGAGTACTCCTGGAGCTAGTCACAATTCCACAGATGGAAAGTGGATTCTGGCTGTTCTTAAATAACCCTTGATCCTGTAAGCCAGTCTGTACATGGTAGTTTAGAGGGCCCCAGAAGTTCTCATCTCATTCACTGAGTGTAACCTGGTGAGTCAGCATTGATGGCTTTTTATGTGGGAAGGGGGACCTCTTGTGAGTTGTGTCTGAGGTACCCTCTCACCTACTCACAGCAGGGGTGCACATTGAAAGACTGATCCCAACAGGTCAGCAGACAGACCAGCACAGTGAGCGTAGCACCTTCCGCTTTCCTAAGCCAGTGCCTTCCTGGCACTCTGGTGACAGACACGGTGTATGTTTGCCCTTTCCACTCTGGTGGCCACTGGCACAGATGATGGCTGGTGACCATTTTAACTGTGGGTAGAAATAACAGAAGAAATAAGTTTTTAATTTTACATTAAAAATTTTCAAAGCTGCCTATAGCTACTCAGCATGTCTTGACACTGAAGATAATAAAGTCACACTGTGTGTGTGTGTGTGTGTGTGTGTGTGTGTGTGTGTGTGTGTATAATCTGAAACGGGTGAATTTTGGAGTTATATTCAATGCTGATTTGAGTAAAAAATTACCCAAATGCCATTGGGCATTTGAATGCTTGGTCCCTAGCTGGTGGTATTCTTGGGGAGGCCTAGGAGATGCAGCCTTGCTGAGGGAAGTATGGGACTCGGGCTTCATTCTGCTTGTAACCCAGGAAGTGAGCTTTCAGCTTTCTGTCCCCTCCACCATGCCTCCACTCTGCCATCATGAAATCCTATCCCTCTGGGACAATAAGACCAAACAAACTCTTTCTTCTCTATGTTTCCCTGGTAATGCTGCATCACAGCAACAGAAGAGACAGTAGCATGGGCATGTGTGTTGATGGTCCCCTATACTTTCTTGACTGTAACTTATACCATATATACATAAAGTACTGTTCTAACAGTAATTGTGCTGTCCAGTTTGGGGCACACATTTTGAAATATATGTATGTTACACACACTGTTATACAATTAAATGTTGTGGAGCAGCTATTGTCTTCAAGTGTTGGGGCATTGCTAATAACAAATAGTTGAGGGTTTTAACATGAGTCAAGCTTTAGAATAATATTGTACTTTAAGTGTCGCCACTATAAACGGCATGAGTAGGTTATGTTGCACCACTGAGGAACTTCCCAGCCCTGACATTGGGCACCATTTAAGCAATGAGCTTCCCTGTTGCAGAGTTCCATCTGCATCTGGATCCCTCCTTGGGAGCTTCCTCGGGAAATGCCTTTAGCTATCTCAGGGTTCCTTCCTGTCCCAGTGCACACTGGACCTGCTGCCAGAGCAAACCTTAAGAGTTGAGGAGAAATAGAAAACAACACA